AGACCGGACGACACGGAAGGTCCTAATATTTTATAGCACGAAAGCTACGGGGAGAAGATGACTGCGCATCAGTGGCCCAACGGCGTCGTCTCCATTTCTTGTCCGTGGCGACTGCCGGTGGCCCAAATTTGGACATGCCCTCTCCGCAAGTAAACGCCATTACGCTTCTATGGGCTTTGCAGGCCAGCCACGCTCTTCTTGATTTCGATCTTGTTGCCGGCACCATCGAAGACCTCATCAGGGCCTCGGACGCCACTGCGAGAACTCTCCCAACTGCAAGGCACAGCAAACCCCCGCCCCAGCACAAAGACTCCTGAAAACGCGACAAGCCTTACTGAAGCTTGTGCCGGGCCTTTGTTTGCATCGCCGTCATCCTTGGAGTTGTCGATAGACTCGCCCTCGATGCGCAAGCGTCCTGCCCTGCGACGTCAGAGGGCCGCAGCAGAGGGTGTCGGAATATGTCAGAAGTTTTGCCAGCAATGCTTTAGATGAGCAGAGTTTTCTCACTGCTAACTTCAAGCACCTCTCAGGGGACTATCCTCGTGGCTATTCAAAGCGAGGCACTGCATGATCCACTTCTCCGTGGCCACGCTGTCGCAGAACTCCTTGAACGGCCAGTTGACTTGCTCACTCCCTCTTCAGCCAAAGGGAAGGCGGAACCCCCTCGCACACAGTCCCACTCCCTCTCTCTCTCTTGCTTGCTTGCTTGCTTGCTGGGCGTTTGGGGGGGGGGGGGTCCGTGAAGGCCCCACCCCCTGCGCGCAAGCGCTACGCCAGTGTTCGAGTCAGGCCTGTGAAAATGAAACATGACTCTGACCCCGACCCTCGCACATCCAAACACATGATCCCTGCCTGGTAGGTTTCGGGGGACCCTGTGCGAGTGTCGGTGGTCATCGTCTCGCGAGCTCCCCGTCATTGCGGGGTCTGTGCCCTGTGCTCACTCCGCTAGCTCTAGGCGGCGTCCCAGCATCGGAAACAGGATATTATCATTAGGATTGCATGCCAACACAAGCATCAAACCACCATACAACCGATGTGCGACCACACCGTGTCCCGCGCACAGGCTCTGCTAGGGTATCTTGGCTCTACTGTACGGTTTGGGTGGATGTATGTGTGCTCCCAGCGCGGGTCCCCGTACGAAACAGAGGGCAGGGTACTCAAGGCGTAGGGGAACGTCACACACACCTGGGGAAGTCCCCGCGCTGGTCGGCTCTCTCTCTCTCTCTCTCTCTCTCTCTCTCTCTCTTTTGCTTTGCTTTGCTCGGGGTTTGGGGTGAGGGCAGGCCCCCCGCCCCGCGCGTCAAGCGCTACCCCATCCATCATTTTCGACGGATGGGCTCAGCTGTGCATGAGACTGTGTGCCCC